TGCCTCAGATGGTCCGGTATAGGTCCCTGGTCTGTGCGCTCACCCATTTATTCTATCCACATTGAATAAACGTCCATAGTCAAGCTGCCATGTGTGCAGTCATCCGATCTGGATGCCCAACCTCGCAACTTACAGGACTTGGTGCCACATTTTGGTGTTTAAAGACATCATTTAATATACTGTGTCCAGTTCTGAAGACCTTACTTACAAAACAAATATGGATAAGATAGAGTCCAGAGAGGGGCAACAAAAATGGTGAAATGGTGCAAGGTTTGAGGGATAAAACAAATCAGGAGGTACTGCAGGAACTTAATACAGACACTTTTCACTTAACAACCTAGTTCCGTTCCTAAGACTAGTTTGGTAAATGTATTGGTAGCTAAGCGAGGATTAGGGGAAATCAGCTCTAATTTACAGCACATTACTTAGATTTGCCTACTGTAAATACTAATGTACAGTAGTGAAGGAGTAGGAATGAGACTGAGAAAAGATGTTGTGAGATGAAGTTGACCCTTCGCACAGTGTACAACACCGACCAGTTGGAGAGCTGGTCATAAGTCCAAGTGGTCGGCAGGTAGGTTGTTAAGTGAGTAGCTGCATGTACAACCTCAAGTGAAAAAAGGGGAAGGTGGGTGATGGAGACCTTTACATTTACTAGCTGTGCAAATAAGATTCTAGTTTGCAGATTTTTCAGTATGAAGCTGAAATTAACAAAACGGGGGAAGTTCAAGAGTAACATTAAGAAGTAATATTTTACCAAAAGAGTAGTGTATGCTTGGATTAGACTTCCAGCACAGTTAGTGAGAGTCAGTCAACAATGAGTGAATTTAAATATGTTTGGGGAAAAAAGTTAATACCCAAAGAAAAACTTTAAACAAAAAAAAAAATTAAACAAACCCAAATGTTTAAAAACAAAAGACTTGATGGACCACTTAGACTTCTTTCACTGTCACTCTTGTATGTTTCTGTTTTGCTATGTTTTTTTCTCTTTTTTGTAGATCAGCTCGGGTAATCTTCAACTCGTAGGTCTGACATGTTCCTTCTGTCATTATTGCTGCTCCTGTTCCATTAAGCAGAGTAGTAAAGTCTAACAGTGGCTGACTTTTCACCTTGAGTCTTAGTACCGTACCACCACTGGTCACTGGGACCACCATGTTTTCCGTAGGGTCTGCTCTGCCTAAAGCTGTGATATAAGCACCATTCAGCTACTGTATATCACCCTTCCCTCTGTTTTTCCTCAATCTTGTGCCAAGCCAGCCCGTTCCTGTTAATAGTTTCATCAGTAGAATGAAGGAAATTCCCGCTAGACTTCATTAGAATGCCTTCTACTTAACAAGAAGAGTTTGTGCCTAACATTTTAACACTACACATTAATCCGGCAACATTACAGCTAACAATACAGCCACCGGCGACACATATGGACACAAAGCACAGATAGAGTGCTACATACAGTAAAACGGCTTGTGATGTCCCTTTCTTGTGCTGTGATTCTTCCCCACGTGTGCAGAGCAGGTGGCAAATGAAATGTAATTGTCACACCTGGAGTACAATGACTCTGTTAGCATGGATGCTTCTGGATTAACCCCTTCAGTACTGGGCTGCCATGGTTTTTGTGAGAATGGGCTTATGTGGTATATGCTTTATATAAAGTTTATTCTGACGTTTGCTGCCAGGCATATCTGTATTTTAAATCAGAAACCTTCTCAAATTTACCTTGGAGAATAGGATTTTTGTACTCACAGTAAAATCCTCTTTTTGGAGTCCATTGAGAGACACAGGAATTGTTTTACCTTAGGATTGTACTGCCACCTACAGAAGGACTGGATACTAGCAAACAAACAAAAAAACAAAGCAAAACTAGCAAACAAAAAAAACCTGTAGGCCAACCCAAGATAAACCCTCCTACTATTAGCATCACAAGGGGGGTGCAGGGGTACTGCCCTCACCTGGGTGACACCAAAATGACTGACAGTCATTTTGGTGTCACCCCCTCTAAAAAGTCGGGCACTCGGTCATAGACCGAGAGCCCGACAGTGTCAGGAGAAAGGAGAGGGGACCCAGCGGCATACCTCATCCTGCCGGGTGAACGACCCCTCCTCTCTCTGCCGGCGTCCATCACCAAGACGGCTGCCGGCAGGCGTCAATTAGATGGACGCACATGCGCGATGACGTCATGGCGGGGTGTTACCCGGTCTTCGCTCCGGGTGACACTCGGCCTCGGGACGCCCCTGACTAGCATGCCTCTGTTTTGCAGCAAAGCAGTACCAAAAGCATAATCATAAACACAGAGGTGTGACCTCTGTGGGACCTGTGCCCAAAAACAGTGTAACTGAGGAGAGTGCGACACAGCAAACAAACACTAACAAGCCTGAGAAGAAAACAACAAAGAACTGGGGACTGCCTGCAGTTCAGATAGCTGCCTGAAGGACCTTATGCCTGAAGCTGGCATCAGATAAGGCTGCAATGTCTCCCTGGTAGAACTTAGAGAAAGAATGAACAGAAGACTACATGGCATTCCTGCAAATCTGGAAAACAGTTGCTTACTAGATGTGGTTTTTATATATGTTTTTATTGATTTAGTTTTATTGCAACATCTTCTTATCCCATAACTCAGACAAAGATTTTGATGGAAATTTTAGGCTAAGCCTAGTCCTCATTACTTGGCCCCTGAAACAAGTTGGCGGCCTGTTGCTTTCCTGTGGAATTAAAAAAAAGTTTGGACTCCTAAGAGGGTGTTTTGGAACTTATTGGTTTTATTAAACAAATCATTCTGAACAAAGACATGATCACTTTGTCCCATGATGACAGAATGTTGCGTTGTAGAGGTCCGAATTGAAACATGCCAAATAGGACTGCCTCAAAAAGAGTCTACTATGCGGCCAAAGATTCTCATGCAAAAGCGGAGAGTCAGATTGGAGATACTCCAAACAATGAGTCAGTTCCAGCATCAATTTCTGACAGTTCAGGGTCCATCTGAACTACTGTAACTCTGGACAGTCAAAGCCGAAGGTCACTACCAGGCTATCCCTGTGATGTCCATAGGCCAGGCTCAGGATGGCCACGCTGGATAGCTGCAATGTAAGAGATGAGTTCTAGTAGTGACGTAGAGAAGAGTCTTGACTGAAGAAGTATAGTCTTGAAGAGTAAGAAAAAAAAAGATGCTAGCAAAAATCAGTCTTCCACACAGCAGGGCTGAAGAGAACACCACCATCTTCCTCAGGCAAATAAACGAGGCATGCTAGTAGAAGAAGAGGTTACCCTGCACTGGCCAACAGGTTTATTTTTGCTTGCCAGAGTCCATTTCTCCTCTAGGCAACAGTATACCCCCGATAAAGGAATTACTGTGTCCCTCAATGGACAAGAAATAAAAACTGTTTTATAAAATTTAGTCCAGTCCGATTAAACAGGCTTTTCAGAGTGCATCTGGACCGCTGCTTGGTTTTGTGTGGTGACAATCCTTAGCATATCAGCTCTGTGGTGAGAACTAGGCTGCAAAGAGTTTGGTGCTGGCTTTTACAGTTTTGTTATGTCAATGTAAATTCAAAAGTAGTTTTCAGTCCTTTTTAAATCTGCAGCTTTTATTCAATTAATACCTGCTGATCCTGCCATGAAGGTCCTTGTTTAGACACTTCCTGTTAAAGAGTAACAACGCTCTTCCAATTGTGATCCTGCGTTGTCACTCCTTCACATGCACCCCTGATGGAGACTATAAATGACCATGCCAATGCACAGGCATGGTCCACCGCCACGATCAGGATACCGGCCCAGAGCAATGATGTGCAGATGAATCTGGAGTGGCTGGAAGAGGATGAAGGAGATCAACAGCACTAAGATGCAACAAAGGATGAAAAAAGGTGAACACTGTATATCTTCCCTTCAAAAGAATACCTGGAGTGTGCTGATGAAATGGTTTAAAAAGAAAACCAGTAACCTGGGAGTCATGTGAACATACAATGCCCCCAAAAAATGGACAAGGTATTTTAAAGGAAAAGTTTACTTTAGAATAAAAAATCCCCAGCCTGTTCTCCCAGAGCTTTAACCTATTCCAAGCTAAACCCCATGCCCCAGGTGCCTAGATACTGTACCTCTTTAACAGTTTTGGCTTCCCAGGGTGTAGACATTTTATTTGATGCTGCCTGCCCCTGCGCAGTAACTTCCCATAGACCTGCACGGGCAGTACCCATACGATTGGGGCAAACCATTACACAAGTATATGGGAAGTTACTGTGTGGGCAGTATCAACAAGATTACTGCACCATGGCTGTAAACAGCCCAGAAAGGAGTCAGTAGGCACCTGGGAGGTTTGTTTTTAGCAAAAAATAGGTTAGGGGCAAGGGAGGGATTGGGCAGTGAAGGTCAAGTGGCTATAAAGTGTACTGCAGTTCATGTTATTAGCATGTAATCATGTTTGATTTGGGTTTCAGCCTTGTTACATGCATGATGTTCCATATTTTTAAAACAAAAGAAAGTGTTGTTAGTTCTCCCTCTAGTGGGTATGTGTTTACCCAGCATCCAATCAGAAACCCCGCAGAACTAATGGGATAAAGAATAAGCTACAGACTGTATTGCTCTCAATCTATTTGAGCACTGTCAGTTGTGCTCTGCTCCAGGCTCCCTCTATGCCTTGTACTGAACATGGGTGCAGGCAAAATTCCTCACCCATCTCTCATTGTTAGAAATCTTAAACCAACAATGAAAATAGGACACACACCGAATTCCTGTATTAGAGGGAGGGACCCAGGGGTGTGGTGAGGACGCTGGAATAATAAAGTGCATGGGCAGCAGGTATTCGATGTGCGGCCTCATTCATTCATTCAGTCTATACATGCTATTATAAATATTTTTTTGTTTGTGTCAATGGCTGGATAAATGGTTTGCCATTATGTCAGTTATTACATTTATTATGCTGGAACACATATTATGATAAGCAAGAACGGAAAAGACCTCAGACTGTTCGGTTAAAAGATGTATTTCCAGGAGTGTTTGATATAGCCACTGACCTTCGGCATGCTGCAGCACGAGATACACAGATTCCTCGGAGATGATGTACTTGCGCAGGCAGACCATGTTGGGTACGCAGCGGGGAATAATGGTCTTTCTGCTCCCAGACTCCTCGCTGCTTTTCCTCAGACCCTGACAGAGAACAGAAAGGTCAGTTGTACCCTGAGCTTCCTTTGGATCCCGCTGTGCTTTCTGTTTATCAACCAAATAATCTATCTGAGCTACTGTGGGCATTAGAAAAGCCGCTCATCTGCTCCTCCATGTCCTCCAATCCCCAGAGGCTCGGCTGATGGCATCTGGCAGGTATCCAGAGAACAGAAGATGGCACAAAGCTACCATTAAAATCAATTATACGGGTCAACGTTTCTATTAGATTCTCACTCTCAAAGTAAGTTATCAGAGTGACACTTTGTGTACTCTGCTGGTGACCTCTCTCTCTCTCTGTTTTTATTTGCTGCGCACACACTGGAAGACAAGTCCGAGCTTTAGGTGGCTTTTCAAACCACACCAACTATGACTCTGTAGTTTATAGATGCCAGCCTTGCTGTGCTTTGCAATACAAATGTTCAATGGACCTGTTTGGAAAGGAAAAATTACACAAAGCCCACAGCAACCAATCACATGTTACCTGTCATTTTCTCTAGTGGAGTCTGTCACTACAGCTGAGAGTCTGAAAAAGGCTCATATCTGATTACTGGCCACCTTCCGGTACCACTCCACAGACATTCCTAGAACAACCCAGCATTGCAGGGTAAACCAGGTGCCCCTGAAACCTGGGCAGCCTGTAGCATGGCAATATTGGCTTTTTAAAGGTCAATATTGAGAAACACACTCAGCAAATCCCACTATGCAATTCAGGCCTTCAACAACCTACTGAGTGGTGTTTGCATTGCATTATGGGATGCCCAGGGGGTCTTCTTCAAGATTGCCTTTGATGGAGCCTGTGGAAAACAAAAGGTGGTCCTGGGCTTCAGGAGCGCACTGCACCAACTACTTATATTGCTGTGTATTAGTGTCTAACATTCAGACATGAGCAAACTTCAACCTGTCACTTAGGGCCATGTGTCAATTAGCTTCAATGGGCAATTATCAAATGCTTTTGATATTAATTCGAGACTCTTCTGAGATCATTGTGAATTAATTACAGGTGAATTTGACATGCATCAAGCTGCTTTTGCTTTCTCGTTAACATAGAGGGAAGAGTAACTGTTCTTATACGAACAAAAGCCTATGAACACTATGGCGACAGATTTGCAATAACCCCTTCCCGACCCATGACGGGACACAATCATTCAGTTCATTAACGACTGGTGATGGAATAATCCCGTCATGTGGTACAATGAGTGCTGGTCCGTGGAGGGACCAGAGCTCATTGAGTTACTGCTGTTGCTGGGTCCCTTGGGGTCCGAGGAAGACCCTCAACAGCAGAGTAGGTGGCCCCAGCCCTGTAATCACTGTGATAGCTAATTTCAATGATCAGAGCACTGTAACAACCACTGATCTGGGTTGCAGCTTACTGTGTTGTGGAGCTGCGAGCCGGCTCAGTGTGTTACAAACTGATACAAAGTATCTCTGAGGAGAATACTGTATTCTCCTCAGAGATACTAAATATCAAAGCCCCTTGATATTTTCAATAAGAAAAACGTTTTAAAATTTTGTAAAGTTTAAAAAAAGGTGGAAAAAGTTTTTTAAAAATTAAGTTTAATAAAACAATTATAGGAAAATATAGTGCTGAGGAGGTTATTACGATAGGAGATAAATATGCCACATTCCAAAACTGTTCCAAACTAAAATGGTATTTTATTGCGTGTTATTTTTTCTTAAGTTACTATTTTTCATCACACATATATACATAGAAGTCGCCACAATCATGCTAAAGTGTACCTAAAGAACAAAAAAATTCTGGATCTGTTCTGGATAGAGTGGTGTCAAGTTTTAATTGCTGTTTTATATCATCACCAAGGCGAAAAGAGAGGGATAATTCTAAATCTTAAATTGTCATTAGAAGAGGAGGAGATTGAGGGGAATTCTACCAACACTTGTTTCAGTGACAACAGTCCAAGGGTGCTTTCCCCCTCACTTCCTATACTTTCTACAGGGCAGGAAATGAAAAGAAATCTCCCCAATGCAACACAGACTGCAAATAATAAATAAAACAAAGGTCACAGGGGTTCTAACCATTCCCTTAAAGTTGCCTTCTACTTAGCAGTGCTACATAGTAATTGTGCTTTACAGTGCTGACCACACTACCTGATATACACAAAGCAGGTAGAAGTAAAACACTACAAATAAAAAAAAATGCATCAAGAAAATATATCACAGCATTTGGAAATTACTTTTAGGTAAACTTTACATTTACAACGCAAAGGGACTGATAAGCGAATGCTGTTCACACAGCATTACCGCCACTAGATGGAATTCCTAGGCTCCTCAGCTCCATCTAGTGGCCATAATGCTGTGCGAACGGCACATGCCCTGCTATATGCTGGGCAGAATTTTTATACATCAGCCCCAAATTGTGAACTGGCTGAAAATACACTAGAATTACCTGTTATAGCTGAATGAGTAGAGTGGGCAATGCATTTACTTTCCTCTGTTTTTCAGAAGAGGAAACCTTTGACTTTTTGGAAATGGCTATCATGTTGCACGATAATAAGGCACGATACAAAAGATAGTTATAATATTCCAGGTATATTAATACTTACTTTTAAAATAAATGTCTCCTGAGTCCTTGTATCTAAAACCAGCAAGACCTGGACAGAATAGAGAAACATATTTAATGCAGGAAAGATTTGTCAGGTGACATAGCGTGCATTTATGTGAAAGTCTATTTGTCCCATATTGGCACTATATTCTACGTCCATTAAAGTATGCTCTGAGCAAATAAGTTTTTTTAGCATTTTACACAGAGTAGGGACTGGCCAGAAGGGGATCACTTTAATACAGATAGCCAGCTTAAACATGTAATACAATATGTGCGAACCAAGGATCCATGTTTCAATTCAAATGTTTGCTTAAAATATATAGGGGAGTATAATAGTGTGCAGAAGATGTATTCAGATCCTTTATGTGATATACAGTATACAGGAGAAACTCGAATAATTAGAATATCGTGCAAAGTTCATTTATTTCACTAATGCAACTTAAAAGGTGAAACTAATATATGAGATAGACTCATTACATGCAAAGCAACGTGACACAACAGTTCTTCCAAAACATTACTATGATTAAGGCTGCATAAGCCAGAAATGCGTCAGTGGTTGTTTCGGTTACAGATACATATGGAATAAACAGGGATATTTTGGAAGAACTCGGCATGCTGGTCATCATAATAATGGTCTGACCTTGTCCACCTTACGTATGTCTGAGAAGACCTCAGAGGACATTATTGCAATTAAAATTGTTTACTGTTCCCAACCCCTTCCAAGGGGTTGGGAACAGGTAGGAATTCTGAAGAGAAAGGAGGAAAGAGACCAACACAAACATATATATTAAAGTAAATCTAAGCCCAAATCTTTTCTTACATTTTGGATAGAGCAAGGAACAATCAGAAACTCTGCCAAGTTTTTATTGCCATCTGTGTCCTTACCGGGCAATGGACGGGGCTGTAACAGCCGCAGCTGTGTGTGTCTCAGCGAGCGGTAACTGTCAGATCTGCTGGGGACCATGTGCAGAAGCAGCTGGCAGAAGCCGCAAGTCGAATCCAATGACGTGTTGGAGAGGGATCATTCAGACAGGAACCGGGTGTTGGATAGGGCTGTGGCAGCCGTGGCCGCGTGTGTCAACGAGCCGTCTCTGTCGGGTCTGCTGGGGACAGTCAGACGCCGGGGCTCGAGTTGATGGTGGAGTGGAGGGGGATCCAAGAGCGGACGAGAGCGACGCGTTTCGAGGTCTTGCCTCTTTTTCAAGCTCGGGTAAAACAGTGAGATGATGGCGGGAATAGGCCGGGTTTAAAAAGTGACAGATGGGCGGAGCTAGCGGTGGTGAGCGGTGATCCCGCGGTTTAAAATTGAGAGCGGAGTGGTTGGGAACGGGCATATATTTGGTAGCTTGATATGCATAAAAGCCATAAGAAACAGATGTGTAAGGAAAGGGGCGGTGGGAAGGAGTTGGTGATGTTAGATAGGGACGAGGGAAGCCATTGGGTAATAAAAGTACTGGAGGTCGTGTTGGGATAAAAGACTGTTAGATGGTTGAGTAGAATGGTATTTTGGTGAAAACAGGACCTTGGTTGGAGGGCTAACATGTGGGAAATGCCTATATTAAAATGATCTTTATTGGGAACTCTAAAAATATATAGTAAAAAAGAAGTTACAAAAATGGGGATGAAAGGAATAAAAGGCATAAAAAGAATAAAAATTCCTCTAGCATCTTCCAGACAGGAAATGAAGGGAAGTCTCCCCAAAGGGAGAAAGACAGAGAAAAATGAACTGAAAGGGTTTTAATCCTACCCTGCTTCACCCAAAACTAACAATAAATGCCTGGTATGTACATAAAGTATATAAAAAGCACAGTTAACCTTTAAGGAAACAAACTATCACTGGGGTTTTTAAATAACAACATCAATAACATGATGCCAATTGTTCCCTGATTTTTAAAGCTGATCACAGCTTGCATAGGGCTACCATTTGGCCTGCTGTTACTGTATCTGGCTACTCTGTGGATTTTTTTGCTGTTTACACAGCACCATTCTATGTGACTAAGAACAGATGACTCAAGCCACAGCTAGGCTTTCTAGCAACGACAGTGGCCATGTATCTTTAAATCTTGACATAGCGGAGGATGTAATTTGCTGGATTAGCACAGAGGATTTCTTGATACTGATCCCACATTTTGTAATCACATTTATTAGTGTCTCGTCTGCTGTCCAGCATTGGAGGCCATGGCCGTCCTGCTGCGGATCTTGGGATGGAGCTTCGACTCTGCTGGTTACAAACCAAAGGACAAACGGGCCACTGGGGAATATGCCAGCTGTTATCTTGTGCGGGTATCCAGAAGGGTCATCTTCAGTCTGAAGGAGCATGCAATCTGCAGACTAATTACAAGCGCTCCAACCACGGTGCCCAGTAAGACTAGTGACTTTCACAGACAACAAAATCCTGCTAGGGATGCAAATGCCTCGCGCTGGGAAAACGCTGGGCTGAGCCGATGAATACTCATTTGTTAACAAAACAGAAGGGCGAGATTTTATTATAAGGGAACAGACGCAAGGCAAAAACTCCACTATGCATAACTTTGCCATATAACCTTCTGTACAGTCTGTTCGAACGATATAGCTCGGGAACGGTCAGGATTCTAAAATCAGCCAGGAAGAACCGGATCGAACACAGCCAACGTATTAAATTGGAAGAAGGGGCATATGCCCAGGGCCGGCTATGGCTAGAAGCATGATTTCATTAGACTGTATGGAGCCTGGAGAGCGGGTCTCCAAATTATCCACTCCAATCTATCACTGTCCTGTTTCCAAAGAGTGGTCATGTGACCATACATCTGAGAGCTTCAGACTTATAGCAAATAAGTGCATAAAAAACTGCCATAACTAGGGCCAGTGAATGTGGTTGACAAAAGAGCAATCGATTCCAAAAATTACAGATATAGACAAAAGCTTCAAATGCTTATCAAAAACAGCGGAAGAAAGAGGTAGAAAGCTATAGAGGAAGGTCTTCTGATGATGCGAGACTCTCCCTGGTATACCATTAGATGTTTGTGCACCCTGCTGATTCTTGGCGGCCACTTACAAGATAACCGTGAGTGATTGTACAAGGGATGCCAATGATGCCTCCTTCCCTATATCCCTGTGTGAAGATAGCCCTATTTCCACAGTAATTATTTGAACATTTTAACTGACAGGATCCATCAGAATCCCAATACAGCTCTCAAAAGGAAATTGCCTAGCTAAGGTGTTTTGGGTGGGATTTTCGGGTATGCTGTAAAAAATCTGAAAATGATTCCTGAGGGCCCATTCACACCCATGGCGCATTCCCGTAATACATGGAACACAATGTGCTTCATGGTGCATTGCATTACTGCAACCCATTCATTTTGATTGGGCCCCAGTGGAGGTGCATTTTGTAGATTTTTTTTATTAACGGAATGGTACCACAATGCACTGCACCTCATTTGGTGCGTCACCAATCACTGCAATAATGTGCACATTATACCATGCGTTACAGCAACACAATGTCGTGAACAAGAAGGGAATACAGTGCATCTTCACTGACCGCTTATTATGAATTATTACTGCAGTGCGCACTATCCCAGTGTTACTTTTAAATATAACTTTCATATATTTACATGCTTGTTCTTTTTACATGTTTCTGATTATATAATATAATATATTAAAGATAAACTCTCACTTTGCCCATTTAAGGGGACAAGTTCCTTGGCTTAAATTCTTCACAGACAATGGCCATTGTTACGTGTCCCCTTTTCCAGTGAAATCGGCACTAGGAATGATTATAGGGTGCTCGCCTCTTCTCTCCATAGGCACAAGCACACTCATTCATCAGATTGATGCCTATGAGCTGTTCCAATTTGGTTATAGCAGGTTCGTTTTGTTCTGAAGTACATGAGGTTTGGGTTTCTGAAGTGTCATCATGGAAACCAGACCCAGAGGGCAGCTGCTAGCCAAAGAAAATGGCGAACCACTTCCCTTATGATGTTCTCCACAGAACATTGCGTGGTGATTGCTGCACTTCTCTGATGTGTTCCCCACAGGACATCAGATAATGGCTGATGCAGTAGTATTTTTTCCTTCCAGCGGCACCGCTGACGTAGGAACATTTGTTCCTCCCACTTCTGGGTCATTGTATGTATATATATATATGGAGTTGCATCATCAATGCCTGTCCAATGGTGGGCACAAAAAACACCAAACCCGAAAAAAGACAGATGGAATTTTGCAGCGGCTCTGGACTCAGTGATGAGGGAGAGCTACGACGTCACATCTCCGAAGAAGGGCACACCAGTGCATAACTGTGTCATAATGTGCAAGTACTGCAAAAGCCCAGCTACCCTCCAATTTAAGATGAAGAGCACACATTTTCAAAGATCTATCATAGCTTTGCAGAAGTGTCTGGATCAGGTGGTGGCACTTGATCTAGCACAGCGGCGTAGTGGTTAGCACTTCTACCTTTCAGCACTGGGGGTCAGGCCACTACATGCACGGAGTTTGCATGTTCTCCCTGTGCTTGCGTGGGTTTTCCCCAGGTACTCTGGTTTCTTCCCATACTCTAAAGACATGCTGAAAGGTTAATTGGCTCCTGTCTAAATCAGTCCTTGTATGTATGCATGTGAGATAGGGACCTTAGATTGTAAGCTCCTTGAGGGCAGGTCTGATGTGAATGTGCACATCAATGTAAAGCGCTGCATAAATTGTCGGCATTATATAAAGACCTGTAATAAATAATAATAAATAATAAACACAGCACTAGACTTCATGGAATAAAAATCTGCATGGAAAAGCCTTAACCACGTGTGCAATTTCTCATTTTTAAAGCTGTTTCAAAAGGGATTTTTTAGGCACTGTGTTAAGATTAGACAGTGACTAACATTGTGCACAGACTGACATTGTGCACATGTTGTTGAAGATTTTATGCACAATATTTTAATGTATAGCATTGCAAAATGTCATGTTCATGTACCGTATATACTCGAGTATAAGCCGAGATTTTCAGCCCATTTTTTTGGGTGAAAAGTGCCCCCCTCGGCTTATACTCGAGAAGGTTACATTTATGAGAATGCTATTAGCAGC